TAAAGAAAATCTTCATCTTTCTGAAAAAAACAAAACAACAACAAAAAACCCTGAATCCCCCAAGAGCTTAATTCAAGCCCAGTTCACAATGTATGCTCATCGCATTTTCCTTGAATTGATACTGAACAAAAGTGATTCTGATTGCAGACATGGTGAGTCTAGGTTTGTTTACAAATTCCTGGATTATGGGAGATGGAAGCCTGGGAAGGGGACGTGAAGACAAATCAAGATCCATCCAATGTCCTAACATTCATTATGTGCTTACTAGGGCTCCCACCCAACACTGCAGGCTTGGAATACAGAATGCAGACATACTGTATTTAGATAAGTGCATAATGGGTTACTAAGGGAAACCAGGATGGCCTGATTTTGCCATCCTACATTAGGAAACAAGCTGCCCCTAAGCCCCTTGCCAGAGTCAGAATCCAGCATGGATCCAGAGCCTAACCTTTTCTCATAAACCAGCAGTGCTGAGGAGGATAACACACTTTTAAGATGAGAGGTGGTACTGACAGAGGCCCAAGGCAAGGTGAAGCCACGGCCAGATGCGGGCCAGCAAGGAAATGGCTTGGTAGTGACTTTGTGGTAATCAGTGAGCTTGTTTCAGTTTTGCTTCTGGAGACTAGCATGTCATCTTTGCCTCCGCCTCCCTGAATATGCACTGTGTTTTTCTTGTGTGCACGAGGAGTGCCGACACCTGCCAAATGAATGATCTAGATAGCTCAAGACGTCCGCTCTGCCCAAACAGTGAGACCTTGGAGCTGGGAGCACTGAGAAGTCAGCACAAGGAAGAGATGGATGCAAGAGGGAAACCATTATACAAACAAGTAGCAAAGGCAACTTTCACGACTAGGGAAAAAATGTTTTTCAGCAAACTGGTCCAATGCTGCAAGAGCTGTCCCAGGGAAAAAGAAACAGGCATGCTCTATCCAAAGCTCTGGAATTCAGCTTTCAACTAAATTTAGGGAAGAAGCTCTTCCTTCCCAGTCACGTGTTCTCCAGGCTGTCTGGCCAGACCGCTAGAAGGCAATGACTGGGTGTGCTGAGCAGAGTGACAAAGATTACAGTTTCCTCTATAGGAAAACAAGCTTGGGAATCTGGGTTAATCAGAAGTATGTGCATGTTCTCTTCCTGAAGGACGTAGCTGTCAGCCTTCCTCGAATACCTGGGGCCCAATAGGTTTTCATAGGAGGGTGTGAATGTCTCACACAATCTTTGTTTTCCAAGCTCACTTCTGGGGAAAAGTGGCCCTCACAAAGGGCCACCAATATGTGCGTGGTTTTAGGACACAGAATTCAGCACTGCATAGATAACAGAGATGCAATCTGCGTAGAAAGCCAGAGCAGTAGGATCATTCTCCCATGCTTATTCTCTCATGTAGCATGAGCAGGGAGCTGGCAAGGATCCTTACACTGGAGGAGGTAGACAAGCTGTCCCTTCTAACCACCTGGGGCCCAAATGAGTGGGTTATATGGATGCTGCAAAGCAATCCCAGAAGTAGTCAATGCTGTTGAGTGGGAAACTCCCCAAGAGCATGAATCTTGCCAGAATCCTGGTGTGTATTCTCCTATAGTATTTTGTTAGAACACATGATCTGCCTGGCTTCCTCCTCATCTATTCATATATATTAGATTCATTCATTTTCTAAACATTCAGTGAGGGCATTTTATAGCCCAACAGTGGCCAGTACAACCAGACTGGTGCTGCTTCATTACTGCTCACTGGGCAGTACAAACAATGAACATACACACGACACAAATAATGGTCTGAGGGGTTCTGTGTAGGTTACCAAGGGAACAAATTGTGCAAGATGAAATGAGCCTACACAGAGACCATGTCCACTCTAGGGTTTCAAGACTGGCTCCCTAAGAAAAGCACAGAAACCATATTTTGCAAAATGCACAGGCCCAAAACAAGTCTCTATGACATCCCTCCAGGAAACTATAGCCCAGTGGAGTTGGGAAAAGCCACACAGGAACCTCCTTCCTAACACACTATATAGATGCTCAGACTGAGTCTGTGATTCACCAGGTCTCAGACAGATACCAGGTAATCCCAATGCTGCTGCTGTGCAGACCACAGTAAAGCACCTTATTTTGTAAGGCATTTGAAAAGACCTAAGTCAGTGAAGGGCTAGCTATACCACATTCATGGACAGAGAGGCACAACCATGATGTTACTTCTCTTCAAATTAAGTTAAAATTTCAAAAGGCTTCCAATCAAAATCCTCAGAGATGTTTTACTCCTTAAGGTAGTGGTTGTTGTCTTCATTGTACAAACTAGTACATTGATTCTAAAATTATTTGGAACCACTAAGACCATTCTAGAAAAGAATAAAACTAAAGGAGGTGCCTTTCTAGCTCAAGGCTTACAATAAACCAATAGATGTGGTATGGACACAGAGATAGACATAGAGACCAATTAAGCAGAGAGAGAGCCTAAAAAATAGACATGTACTTCTGGGAAAATGATATATACAGGATAGCACTGCAAATCAATTTAGAAAAGATATACTGCCTGGAAAATTGGTTAGTTAAATAAATGATAAAATTTTTAAAAAATGTTTTGGTGTTTTGAAACAGGGTCTTGCTATATAATTTGGACTGGCCTTGAACTCACTATGTAGCCCAGGCTGACTTTGAACTTGCAGCAATCCTCTTGTCTCAGCCTCTTGAGTGCTGGGATTATAGGCATGTGCCACCACACCTGGTAATAAAATTAGGTTTTTACTCCATGTGATATAAAAATAAAATTCCAGATAGATTACATTCCTACATGTGAAGAAACAAAATTTTAGGAGAAACTATATGATCTTTTTTACAACTTTGGAGTACAGAAATATATCTTAAAACACCAACTGTGCAAACCAAAGAGATTGACAAGTGTGACTTCTGTAAAATTAAAAATTCTATACACCATAAATAAATAAGAAAGAACTGCCACACACTGGGAAAAGACATTCATAGCACTGTCAATAATATCTAGGATGTTTCAAGAATTCCCATCTGTAAAAGACAAGTGACCCAAATGCAACAGGACATGAGCATGAAGTGCAGATGAGAATATCACATAGCAGAAAAAGCATCAAATGGCTCTCAGCCCGAATTAACTGGAGAAATCCAAATGTAAAACAGCGAAATACCGTTTCACTCTCGTTACACCAGCAAAACAAAACCAACCAGACCACGTACTGTGCAGAATGTGGCACAGCAGGAAGTCTCACCCACTTACATTCAGATCACCCCTTTGCATTATCTAGTAAAATGGACAATACACAGGCCGCACGTCCAGCCCTGCCACTCTCCAGTATTGCTATGCTTTGAATGTGTCCTCTTCAGCTCATGCAACAGAGACTGAGTCCCAAATGCAACACTGTTGAAAGGTGGGGCGGTTAAGAGGGGATTGTGGGGAAGTGGGTTCATGCTAAAAGGAAGAGTTTGACTTATTGCTCAGGAATGTGTGTGCTCTTTTGCTCTTGTGACGTTTTCTGTGGGATGACACACGCCTTACACTTGCCAATCGCTAGAACTACAAAAAATACATTTGTTCTTTGAGTTATCCAGGGTCAGGCTTTTTGCTATAGCTACATAAAAGACATTATGATAGGGATCTGTATCTAGAAACCTAGAAACGTTCACTCATGTACTCAAGCAAGCACAACATTCACTCAGCACGCTCAATAGTGACCATGGGCAGCAGACTGAAAGCCCATCAAGGAGATGTGGATAAGCGCAGAGAATGCCATTCATGCCACACACTATGCCATGTAGGGGGATGGAGAGCAAGAGTGCTAAAGCTACGTCTATCAACATATGCATGGCTGCATCTCAAAACCAGCACTGAACGAAGAAACAGAGCTGTTGTGCACATGTAGGCAACGGGTACCAGTAACATAAAATTTTAAAATACGTAAGGGTGCAAATAACAGATATCATGAATTACAATGAAAAGATCTGTATTGTGCCCCGGTATTATCTAAGGCACATTACACATGGGAACAAGTATAAAGATATGCACGTGAATGATAAATCTAAATCCAGCATAATTGCTTCTAGAGAGGAACAAAAATACTCACTTCACATATGCACTATTTGTAATTAGCATCATGAGAGGAGAGGCTTCTTCATGAAGCCAGCCCTCTTCAGACTAAAACGCCTCAGAAAGCATTTAGTCCAGCCTTTAGCTCATGCGGGAAATGCATCCTTAGTACCTACAGCAAAGGATGGTCCTATTTCTATTTCAGAAGCTCTGAAGCTGGGCCACTCTATGTTTCTAGACAAGTTGTGCATTATACAATTCTGGAGTGCACATTCTGTAATGTAAATGATGCCCTCTTGGATTTGGCAGTATGCAACCTGTACAGCTGTATGCAGCAGCCTTAAAAGGGTCACAACTCTGTAGAACTATGTCCATTTCTAGGAAAATTCTCACCCACACAACTACTACTTACAATTTTGGGGGCTTAGCCAACAAGGATCAGCAGCCCTGCACAGGCCCATCCCTTCCAATGTGGGTGCCCACAACCTTCTGAAATACATTAGCCAATGCTGTTGAGGCCAGTGTCTTCTGTAGGTACATCAGAAATTGGCCTCTTTGTAACCACCACCCATAAAAGCACATCCACTTCCTTTCAGCTACTGGAAGTGAGCTAACCTGTTCCCCCAGGAGATTTCCTCCTACCAGGCTGAGGATACTCTCATTGTAAACTTGCCATAACTTCTCTTCTGCTCAAAACGAATTTTTAAACTGTCTAATGTTTTATCAAGTACTTCCTGCCCTAATAAATGATGAGGCACGCTAAGAAAGCATTTCTCTCAGCTGTTCCTCTGGGAGGCTGAGAAGATCTCCACTCTGGCTTCTAGGACACGGAGATGCTCAGAGAAGCCAGAAGTGCCTGGCTGCAGGACAGGTCTGCTTTGTCCAGAGATGGAGGCAGGCCAGTGGGGCAGGATCGGCACACAGCCCCCAAAGGCCCAAGAGACCAGGGCTCCTCCACTTACTCCCAAAACTCCATGACAGGGGAGGTGGCATTCTGCAGGGACACATGGCTGTAGTTGCTCACGTTCAGCTTCTGGAACTCCACACATTTGTCTACAGTGGAAACAAGAGAAGACAGGCAAGACAGTTAACCTTGATAAGGGCTGACCCTGGGAAAACACTCAGAGCTGACGATGTAACTGGGCAGCTGTGTCTGGCCGCCAAGTAGACAAAGCTCAGAGGATGCGGTGGAGAAATAGATGCTCCACAGTGACACTTGGGATAATCAGAACAGGGGGGCAGTGTGGTGGGGAGGGACTCTCTGTGCCCCACCATGTACGTCCTATCGAAATGAGTCAACCACAGTGTCCCCAGGACAGGAACACACCTGAAACTTTGCTTCTCTCTAAAAGGGGGCTAATACTGTAGCTGCTCATAAAGAGGTAAGGATCAGTGAAATGTCATGAATCTACATGCGTAAAGAACCTTTTTTTGTTGTTATCTCACTTAATTAATTCAGTCAGAAAGGATTTATTGAACAGCTTTCTCTGAAACTTGATGACCCAAGAGAATCTCATGTGAAAAATATGCTAGTGTTCATCCACTGAGGCCTGGAGCTCCCCATTAACCCCTCCTCCTCCAGGAAGCCCTCCCTGATCTCCCTTCCCTGAATTCTAAGCAAGGCAGAGCTCAGAGGCCCTCTGAGCAACACTTTTTCTAATGCTTTTTATTTTGAAAAGAGAGAATACAAAATTCAGAAATAGTCAAGAGACCCCCCAAGCCGCACCCTCTCCCTATTCCATAAATGAGCAGTGAGCCAGTTCTGTTAAAGGCAGAATTGAGCACAAACTCCTGCTGGGGCTCCATTTCTTTTGCTGTGTTTAGTGCCCGCTAATGTTGGCCCGTACAGGACCCGTGTTCCCTGTTTACAGAGCTCCCCTGGGGTAGAGGGGCTCCTGTGCCTGCGCGCTGAGGGTCCCTGGCAGCCAGCAGTGGCCAGCTCAGAGCCAGGGCCCACTGGCCCTGCACTTCTGTCCTCTCATGCACTCACACATGTGTACACGCTTCTGGCTGCCCCTGCCGCCTCTGGGGACACGAACCAACTCTTGTAGGTGATGTTCTGCACACTGCAGGCACTCGAGTGCCTTTAAAGCAGTGACGGCGAACCTTTTAGAACTTTCAACGGTACCAACAGCCCGCTGTAGCACATGTGTCACAGGTCGGCCAGCAGTGGATGGAGGAGGCTGTAAGCCACAGTGGGAACACCATGCTTGTCTACTGGGCTTCCTGCTCCTCCTAGAAAATGCTGGTTCTGAGAGTGGGGGCGGTCTCAGGGCTCACAGTTAAGCCTTAAGAGGAATCTAGAAAACTGAAATTGTACTCAAAAGATCTGCCATGTCCTGGCCCTTTTTCTGGGTGAGAGGAGCCCTTAGATTGTATCAGATTCTCTGACATGGTGTTTTTAAATCATTTTTTCCTCGAGTAAAAAAATTTCTCAGACATCAAAGGTTGACCAGTTATTTTTATTAAAATACTTAATCATGTACAATATACAGTGGACTATGACGTCTCTGTGACTATATAATTCATACAACTGGAAAAGCAAAATTAAATTTACAAGTTAAATCAGCCAACATAATTCAGAGTGATAACATGACATGGACATGTAGGATAATGCCACTTAGTGAAATCAAATTGCTTTCCCGACAGATAAATGGAGCTGACAGGTTGAGAGGCAGATCTGCTGACCTTCAGGCTGATTCTTCCAAGGGCTACTGGAGACTTCGGATTTTACGGCCAGTCTCCCTGGCCATACTTCTGTTAAACCTGCGTTCCTAACAGTTTATGTGTTCTCAACTGGACTTCTTTTAGTTCCAGCCCACCATGTTTTTTCTTTTCTTTACTTTTAAAAATTATAATAACATTGTTTGCTGGAGATGGAACCCAGGGCCTGACACAGGCTACCTAACTGCTCTACCCCTGAGGCGCAATCCCAGCCCCTTAACACACCATTTATGAACCAAGTTTCTCTGCTTTCTTTCCCTTGACCATTTTCATTCTATTGCCAAGTGCATGTTGAACTATAAACACAAACTGAAGAAGTACAAATCTCCCGATCATCCTCAGTTACAAAGTGGTGTGCCAAAAGTCCACAACATGCACCTGGAGGACCCTCAAAATACACAATTAAATTATCAAGAGGACTTGCATACCTCCAAGAATATATCCTTGAATCTTGGTTTGTAGCACATTGTGAAGTGTGCCAAAGGAAGGTTAAGGGGCCCTGGAGACAGCAAGTGAGCAAGGCTGCCATCAAATGTGACTGAGTGAAGCGGGGCAAAGTCACATGGGCTAGAAGCCCAGTCACAACACTGTCTAGGTCTGGTGTCTGCTGTTCCTTCTGCTAGTGGCCAGTCTTCCTGGATCACAGCTCTCAGGATGAGAGGCCACTCACAGACATAGTCTAACCCCAAATTCTGATATGAATGGTGAAGAAGTTAAAGAATGTGAACCAATTGCAGTCATGAGCCAAAAGGCAACAGATACCTGGACTATAACTATTGAGAAGCACTCTCAGGCAAAAACCTGAGAAGGTGTGTCACAATAATAATGTCTTCTGGGACACAGCCATCTCAGAAAGGGGCTAGACAGGTAATCTCCATTTCCAGATTATACTAGTCAGTCCTGATAGGATGACAAGTTGAAAAGCAAATAATATATCAAAAAGGAAACAAAAGCAATCTGGGATCAAGTACATTGATTTCAAATGTCTAGCTGAATTGGGCCAGTAAGGTAAATAAAGAAAATAATCTGGGTGGGGATAGTAACGACCTGAGGACAGATATGTACCTAAAGGAACAGCTGCCTCTCAGCTTCAGTCATTGCTGCCAAGGAAGAATGTTGCCAAGTCATTTAATTTTTGAAAATAAACTGTATATCTGGATTTTCACATGAAATCTGGGTTTTTTTTTACAAGAAGTGCAAATCAAATACATTCTTCAATTTGCTGTTCATCATTTAAAGACGGATCAGTCCAAAGGCCCTCGGTCTGCAGACCTTAATCTAGTCTAATCTCTTCTTTCACAGAGAAAATCTGCCACTTGGAGAGGCAGGTTGGAACCGGAGCCCTGGTCCCGAGTCTCCCCCTTTCTGCCACCATCCAGTCCCCAAAAGGCTCAGTCTCTGCATTTAGCAAAGAGCCCAGTGCACCCTCACTTTCCTTACCATGCCAATCCCTGGGTCAATGCTTAGCTCCAGCTGTGACTCACACAATAAACACACTCTGGTTACAGAATTGACCCTCCAGTTTTGGTGAGGCCAATTCCAGCAAATGGGACTGCTGACAAGAGCCCAGAAGCCAATAATGCACCACCATTCCCTGGTGCCCCAGTAGGACCAGTAGAGAGACCCTCCCTGGGGCCCATACCTGTGTTCCATTCGTGCCCACAGGTGGCCCAGGGGAGCTCAGTGGTAAAGCAGTTGCTCAGGTAGAAGATGGCCCAGGCCAGGATGATGATGTAGTACACATTCAAATGTGCCTCAATCACCTGCGTTGCATAGCCAATGCCTAAAAGGACAAAAAAGAAGGAGAAATTTCAATCTCTACCTTTGCAAAAGTCTCAGCTCTTCTTTGTAGCTTAACACTACAGGGCAAATTTTTATTTTCTAATTAAAGCAATACTAACCTTCAAATAAAGGGCAGACTTTTCTCCAACATGTAATGCCACCTTCACTTGTAAATTGCCCCAAAGCCGTTTCCAGGAAAAAAACAGGAATTCCACAGCAAATAAAAAACACCACGTAGGGAATCAGGAACGCCCCTGGAAGGAGATGAGACTTGTCACCATCATTTTGTGTCCAGCACAAGACTCTTTACTCTGCACCCTCCATAGGCAAGAAGTTATGCTATCTGAGCCGGAGCTCAGGCTACAGTTGGGAGGACCAGAGTCAGCCCTGAGTTTGCACCCTTTATGACCTTTGGGCTAGTCTGCCTCACATCTCTGTATCTATACTACTTAGCTCCTAGAACTGTAGTAGCTAAGATGATGATGTTAAAGAAAGCATCTTACTGAAGCTCAGTTATTTAATTTATATGTTCCATCCTCTAGTACAGGCCAAGCCATTCCTACTCTGGTTGTCACACCCTTCTTTATAATTCTAATGTAATCTCAATAGGCCAGGGCAAGGGGACCTTTCCTATTGTTTACTTTGAGACCAACCTGCAAAAAGAACATCTTTTTTAATAAAGAAAAGCATTCTCAGGGAATCATACAAGAAGTAATGTCAGGCTTCCAAGAGTTAAGCTACCCCTACACACAAGGACCAGGTGTGGTGCTGAGACGCAAGACTCTTGTCACTTTATCTAGGCTGGCTCAGGATCAGCCTGGGAAAAGACCACCTTAAGTTTTAGTGCTCCTAACTTGAAACACAATATCTACTGCCTGGGTTTTTCTGCAAAACAAATTAAGTAACTGAGGTAAACAGGAGCTACCACAAGCACAAGGGGATTTTCCCCAAATCCCTCATTCTTTCCCCTGTCAAATAACAAAGCATAAAAACACTATTTCCCACCATCTGATCTCACAAATGAAGGTTTAAATTGAAATTGCTCTTTTTTTTCTAAACGAAACCTCTTTAAACTGGAAGGATTAATAGCAACAATTTTGATAAATCCTGATAGCAAGGCTCTATCTACCAGGTTTTAGCTTTATTCTGGGGAAGCAAGTAATCTAAAGTTTTACATTGGGAAAGAGTGCTTTAAACTACCATTGGGCTCGATCTGTAGAGTCATACAGATTAAAAAAAAAAGGAAACAATAAACAGCCCAACTATATATAATATAGTTATATATAACTATATATAATAATTAAAAATATAAGAAAGGGAATAAAGGTATCTGCTTGTTGAGCCTAAATCTAATCAGTTAAAAAGCTTCAGCAGTTCTTCAACACACTGCATTTACCCATGGATTCCCAGAACAGCTGTGGGGAACCCATGGCATGTGTGATGCAGTGGGCTGTTTGTTACCACTGAAATCTCTAAAAGGTTCTTCATCGCTGCCCCAGAATCCAAGAGACGATACCTGCAAGCCTTTGGTCCCTGTCAGCCACAAAGCTAGTCCTGGAACTCTTAAGACACTAACACAATCCAATCAGGGCTTCTGTGCATGAACGGAGGGAGACTCTTGGCAAACTAGAGAAAAGCCCAACAGTGACTCATTTTTAAATTTTGCTCACTACAACCTTTTTTTTTTTTTAAATCCGTGGTAGAATTTGTAATTAACCCAATTTACCCTATTTTCTACTTTTAATCCTTTTTTTTTGTTTTTGGTATAACAATTTCCTAGATTAACAAAGATGTTAAAACTTTTCCCCGAGGAATATACTGTAGGATTTCCACTGGTTTCCAGGAGCACGGAATGATGTTTTCGAAGAGGGCCAGGACTCCCAGCTGAGGATAGAAAACACACTTGGGGTCTCCGTCCATACCTTCTTTCCCCTCTGCTGTCCACTGACACTGACCACTACTTCACTGCCAGTACAGAGCAGGCTTGGAGCGGCCTGCACCTTCAGGACAAATGTCTCCAAGAAAGGGCCTGGATACAGCTCCCCTCCTCGCTCCCCCTGCTGGACCTGCTCAGGAAGTCCTGCACTGTCCCTGCCAGCCAACTTCTTCTGAGCCACGTTCTTCAGGGGCAGAGGACTGTCTGCTGAAGGAGCAGGAGATACCCCAAAGAAATGACGACACATAGACTGGCTTCTCTCGGAGAAATGATGCCCGGGAAGGAGGCTGTGGAAGATCCCTAGCCATGGGCCTGTGGGGCCGACCTGCTCGTGTGACTCGAAGCCTGGAGCTCCTTCTCTGAACCGGGGCAGTTGCATCTTCTGGCAAACTGGGATGTCTTCACTACAAACGACCCTCTTGTCACTTTCCTTTCCCTTCTCCACAGTCTCCAAGCATTTCTCACAGTCAGGCAGTCTCAAGGCTACTTATTGGGGATGACCCTGCGACCAGTAGAAGAAACTGCTTGCTGCTAATTCTACCACACAGGCTCCAAATCCCAGCCCTAGAAAAGGCCTCAGAAACAGATTTCAAAGACAAGGCAGGAGAGCAAACAGCAAAACCTCGCTTGACAGTTCTGCCACTTGTCAGACCAAGCCCACCTTAAAACAAGGCCTTTGAGGAGGGCAGCATCCACTTTCTCACTTTCTCGTAGGCTCCAGGAGGGCCTTTCCTAACCCTCAGTTTCCTCACCTGCGAGATGGGGTTACACTGCCTGACATGGTGCTCTAGACCGAAGAGAAATAACATGGGGAAAGCTTAGTGAGGTGCCTGTTACTTGAGCAAATGCTCCCAACCCAAGACCACTCGGCAAAGTGGAGACTCCCAAGGCCAGGCATCTCCCGCCCAAGCCAGGAGCTGTTCTGGTCTCCCCGCGTCTCCTGGCAGGATGTGCTCGTGCTGGCAGGTGCCACGCTCAGGTGCGAAGCGGCGCTCAGGTGTGAACCGTGCTTGCCCTGAACAGGTGCCAGCGTGGCCCGCAGTGGGGGCGTCGCGCGTCCCGGGGGTCCCCGCCCCACTGGCCTGCGGGCCCCACCCCTCGCGCCTCACCTCCTCCGTTCTTGTAGCACAGGTAGGGGAAGCGCCACACGTTGCCCAGCCCGATGATCTCCCCCGCCACGCTCAGCACGAACTCCACCTTGTTGTTCCAGTGGCCGCGCTCGTGGACCGCCTTGTCGCGCTTGCGGTCGCGCGCGTCCCCGCCGCCGCCGAGCGCCTGGGTCTCCCGCGCCTCTCCGGCCGCCTTCGCGTCGCCCAGAGGCAGCACCTGCTCGGCCGTCATGGCCGCTGCTCCTCGCCGGCTCTGCGCGCAGCCCCGCGGCCCGGCTTTTCAGGCGGCGCGGGCGGGGGTGGAGCCGGGGACGGGGACGGCGCGGGGACGCGGGGGGCGGTGCGAGGCGGGGCGGGGACGCGCGGGTGGACTGGCGGCGCGGGCGCGGGCTGCGCACCTGGCACCTGGCGGCGCGCACGGGCAGCGGGACGCGAGGGGGGCCCGGCCTGTGACCCTGCGCCGTGCCCAGCTTCCCTGAGCCTGTTGAGGGGCTGCGGCCGGCGTGGGCCGAGGGTGTGCGTTCCCGCAGCGCGCCCAGGGCACGGGCGCCTGGCCAGGCGCTGCGCGTCCCGGAGCTACTGCTGGGACTGTGCGGGATTGGAGCTATTATCTAGAGACAGGTGGATCCAAGCCGAAGCTCACGACCTACCTGTCCTAGGTCTGTGACTCTGGTCAGATGGCTGAGCTCTCTGTGCCTCAGTTTCCTAATTCGTGAAAGGTACTAATCCCACGCCGTCTTTGGCATGGGTTTCTTGTGGCTTTTGTGTGTGTACATGAAAGATTAAAATAAAATGCTTGCAAAGTACTTCATACATTGGAAGTGCCCAGTGAACTCTGGCCATTATTGTTATTATAAAAGAAAGATAATAGGAAGCAGGGAGGCAGAGTTTGGGGAGAGAGGAATGGGATGTGGGAATAGGGGAGGAGCAGAGAGGATCAAGATGTGCTGTGTACGTGTACCAATCCCCACAATGAGTATATTCACGATGTATTGCAAACATATACAAATAAAAAAATTTGAAAAGGATGTGAATATATATATATAATTTTTTTTTTTTTTTTTTAGAGACAAGGTCCTATTTGTAGTCTAGGCTGGCATTGAACTTACTGTGTAGTCCAGGTTGGTCTTGAACTCACAGCGATCTTCCTGCCTCAGTCTCCCTGAATGCCAGGGTTATAGGCATGTGTCACCATGCCTGGCCTAAAAATATTATTCAGTGTTCACTCACATACATTTGTGTTTCTTGCTGATATTTGTGTCCTCCCTTAATTGTAAAGATGACATATACAGCCCTGTGCATCACAACAGTCAGAGAAGCCACACAAGATGTGGCTCACAGGCTGTGCTCAGTAAGCACTTGGAGATGGAGGTAGAGCATTTGCCTAGCAGGAGGGAGGCCCTGGGTTGCATTCCCACCACAACCCCCTCAAAAAAGCGGGTAGAAGAGGAGGGTGGTATGACTTAGGCAAGTGTCTCCAAAGACTCCTGAGTTACAACTGGGTCCCCAGCCAGAGCTTGGCAGGAACGGGAGGTGGGAGAGTTCGTACCACAAGCCAAGGTGATGAAGCCAAGCAACCATGGACTGAAACCTCCATACTGTGAGTCAGAAGAGAGCTTTCTTCCTCCATGTTTGGTTCTTCAAGGTTTGGTCCAGTTATGGGAAGCTGACCCAGAGGAGTGAGGGAGGAAGAGGGAAAGAGAAGGGAGAAAGGCCTGCAAGCGTTTTACTGGGCTGTGGTGCAGCTCAGCGGCAGCGAGGCTGAGTCCATCCTGGCACTGGAAATAGTAACTATGTTGGTAACAGGGTTATTGGGGGCCACCAAGCCCTGGGGTGCTGGAATCTTCCTCCACTTGCCCTGCCCCAACTGTCACAGTTTTTGGAAGACGGAGTCTCAGTTGACTCCCGGCTAAATTTCTCACCTCCCTCTCAACTCGCAGCCCACAGACAATCTGTTGCCACCCCCACCACTTTTCTAGGAACACTGCTTGAGACATCCCTGAAACCCAATTTGTCCTACAAGCCCCACAGTTCCTTCCCCACCCCCAGCCCACCTGACCTCTAGGTCCCTTTCCGCAGCCTTCTTCCCTGTCACCCTAAAAATTCCATCGTGTGGTTTTCTGGGTATCGTCTGCACTCACTGCTATTTCTCTGAATTTCCCTCCCTTCTCTTGAAGCCTGGTTTTCCCTCCTCTCTCTTTAAGTGTGGCTGATGGCTCTGATCCCTGTCCACGTGGGCTGCCCCAGGAAGTGTCAGAAAGTATCATCCAGCTGGGTGAGCAGAGTGAGATGTGGCTCTATAGCCAGGCTCTGTCCCTTAGGAACTCTGTTATGTCTTGTGCCTCTGGCTCCTGGTTCCTCAAATACTCATTCTGGCCTCACATAGTGGATGTGAGAGTTAAAGGCCTCAGCAGTCACTCTGTGAACACAGTAGCTACAATGTTGATTGCAGTGATGATGATGATGTCAAAGGGCAGGAAGAGGAAGGTGGTGTCGACGTCACTCACTTGCTGATAGCCTTGGTTCACTTTTCATTTTCTTTTCAGTGAGTCCCACTGCTGCATGTGCAATAGACAGTAAAGAGAGACTTCACCTTCAATCTCAGAACTCCCTCACCCAGTGGGCATGTGGTAGCTAGGAGTTAATCTGTTCAATAAACAACTTCATCAAGAGTTTGAGACTCATTCCTGATTCTTGCTATTACAACATTAGCCTGTCAACCTAGAATTTATGTAAACCTCCTTCGAAACCAATTATATTTTCTCTGGCTGCTCATGCTCAGCACCATCAGCCCCAGGTACTGACTTCCTCCTGAGCCACTGGGATTCTACCGGATAGGCTTGGGAAGACAAGCTGCACCAGAGAGTGAGGGGCCTGGGACTGGTGGTCATCTGGTGTGGGACTCCGGTTCAGTTCTGCTGATGGACTGTTCTGTGACCTTAGGTTCATCAGCAACCTTGCTGAACTTCAGTGTTCTAGTTTTATTCAAAGGAGCATGATTACCCTCCTGTCTCCAGGTGGTCTTTAGGTCAAATGAGGCCACATGCAGTGGAGGACATTGTGCAGATACTAAGGTCTCAACCTCACCTCTCAACTTTCAATGTTTCTCTTTGTGACAGTAGCCAGGTCAATTTCCTGCTAATTGTTTGTAGTAAATAAATATTTATGGCCCATTTCCTTGGTTATTTCATGGCCCCTGAAAAGACTTAATCTTTTTACTTTGTTCCTCTCCAGATGAGCCCATATGCTCTCTCTCCTTTCAGAGCCTGAATCCTCTCTATCCTCAGGTGTAGTAATCTCTGGTCTGAATGTTCTTAGGCTGGAACACACATGGCTCACTTCCAAAGCTGACCCCAGTGCAGCACAGTGGGTTAGAACATGGGCTCTGTGGTGACACTGCCAGAGTTCAAAACTCAGTTCAACTATTTGGCCAGTGGTTTAAGCCTCTGAGTCTCAGTTTCCCTTCTGTAAAATGGGGCTTCTGTTTATTCCCTTTTAATTATAGCAAGGGCTAAGTGGATTTGTATTTATAAAGCACTTGAATTTGTGACTGCTAGGAAAATATTTGTTAAATATATAAAACTCAAGAAATAGACATTAAGATTTCCATAGTTCTTTCTTGGGGCAGGCATTCAATGTCTTTCATCTTCTGGAAACAGCTATTACAGTCTTCATCTAAGCATCATTTAGAGCTCATTTAAACATCAGTATTGCTCATCCATCCAGTCACCAAATACTTCCGTTTCTTCTGTACCACATACAGGGCCTGCCCTATGAGTACACTGGTGCTGGCTTGAGTTGATCATTACATTTTCAGGGATTTTGAGGTGTTGGTGTCTTGAAATTTGCCATTGTGCTTTTATTCACCCTATGGTAATCTGCAAACATTATGGAGAGGCTCACTCTTATTGTGCATCAGAGAACACACCATTCCAGGGTAATGAAAGAGGCAGTCCCAGAAATGACTGGAAAGTTATAGATGTGGGGAGAGTTCACAAAGGAGAGGTCTGCAGTCAGGAGAGCGAGTGACTGAGCAGCGTGACCTTGTCAAAGGAGCAGCAAGGGCTCTGAGCAAGTGCCAGATGAGCTGAAGCCTGAAGGGAGAGGTGTGATGAACTGGATAAGGAAGGGCTGGGGTCCTGGAGATGACTGCCAGCCCAAGGCTGGGACACACAGAGAGGAGCAAGATATACCTGAAGGTGAAGCACTTTTAGCAGTGGCTGACAGGAGAGTATGTTGTTGTTGTAGAGAGACTGCCGCAGACACAGTGTGCAAAGGGCACTACAGGACGGACGGGCTGAGGGAGCAGTGAAGGGCTAACTGCGGTGGTCCAGACCGGAGATGACTGCAGCTTGGACTGGGGACAGGGGCAGATGAAGGCACAGATCTTGACCTAGGACTAAATGTGAGGGGAGGAAAGGAAGGTGCTAAGCATGTTCTGCTCTTTGTAGAGCTACAGCCTCCTGAGGCGAGTGCTATGGTCGTGCTCTACGTTGTGCCCGTGAGCCTACAACTGCCTTACGTTGAGAATTAGAAGCCAGATGCACCAGGAAATGGATGATCCTCAAATATGTGCACAGCTCCCAAACCCAAAATCCCACATGGTGGAACTGGCATCAAAGAGAGGAAGTAAAAAGGATTAGGTACCAGGAGGAGCTTCCTACAAGTCATTTGGGGACAGAATAATTGGCTCCAGGGAGTGGTGAGCTGCCCAGGAGATGGAGAGTAGACACAGGAGTGGGACTGTAATACTCAAGGCAGGAATCCCATGAGGGGACTTTGTCCTGAGAGTCTGAGATAGAATTCCCCAATTTTACTAGTCTGAATGCACAGTTTTCTGCACAATTCTTGCCCATTAGCACCATTATACTCCTTTAGTAGTTTTGCATTTGAAGTCCCTATCTTCTCCTTTCCTACATCTAGCATTCAGCCCAGTAACTTTGCAGATCCTTTTCAATACTGGAGTTCAGATGTTCTCTGGCCACCAGGATGAGGCAGAAATGATAACGTGCCACTAAGACTACAGACCTGCAAAGAAACTCAGGCCAGATCAACCTCCAGCCTCTAAATAACTGATCTCTGCTGTTCTGAATGACCAAGTATCGACCTTTGCTGCTGCTGTCCATGAATGCTCCCCTTTGCTAATCAGATGCAATCATTCTTATAAACAACTTGATGTTCCTCTTCCTTGTGAATTCTAAAATGATTCACAACCCTCAAAATGCTCTGTGCTACTCAGTATGGGACCCCTCAAGATGCAGAAGCATTGTGCAACTTGCATACACATGGTTTAG